CTCCAACAACCATCAAAGAGAGGGAAACAGAGAAGAGGAGAAGAAGATGATGGGCTGGAGGGAGGAGGAACAGGAGAGAGGGAAAGGAGAGGAAGAAAAGAGAGTGAAAGCTCGAAGAGAACCACGGTGATAACTCCGGGGTCGAATTGTGAGGTCCCCGGCCTCTTTTCTGCTTGAAATAAATGATTTTCTGTGCAAAAAATAAAACGAAAAAAAAAAAAACCTGAACGCGACTTGACCAGGGGCGGTGTCTCACTAGCAAAGAGGATCGAATTAGGAGCCTGAATCTGGATATGTTATTGGCGCAGATGCAGAAAAGCAGATCAGTCACGGTTTTCTGCATCTGTCCCCTCATACGCGTCCAGATTCAGGCATTTCAAGCCAATCCTCTTTGCTGGTGGGACCTCGCCCCGGATCAAAATACATCGATAATGTTGCCTTCTGGTCTAAATGGCGCTAGGACGGTAGTCTCCAAGGCAAAAGTAACATCTACTACGGGAGCGAGGTCCCACTAGCAAAGAGGATTGGATTAAGCTCCTGAATCTGGACGTGTTTTAAGCAGAGATGCAGAAAAGCGGTTCAATCTCGAGTTTCTGCAACCTTTGCACGAGCACGTCCAGATTCAGGCGTTCGATCCGATCCTCTTTGCTAATGGGGCCTGGGCCCGGGGAAGAGGGGTAGCCTGGGTAGGGGGACCCAAAAAAAAAAGAAAAAAAAAAGGGAAGGAGAACCCGCAGCGAGCTCCCGCATAATGAGATGGTGACTTAGTAGAGCTCATCCGCACACACTGTCTGCACGTTCTCTCGGCTGAGAATTTGACCGTAATTGCGGTCACAAACATCCATTACAATTGATGAAACTGAGCATTTGGCCGTAATTGCGGTCAAAAACATCCCCTAAAACTGATGGGCTGAAAAATTGACCGTAGTTGTCGTCACAAACATCCATTCGAATTGATGAAACTCAGAAAAATTGACCGTTGTTGCGGTCAGAAACATCTATTGATGAAACTGAGAATCTGACCGGAATTGCGGCCACAAACATCCGTTTCAATTTCAGAAAAGGACCTCGCTTCACTACTCTCCACACGCACAACGCACAAAAAATGTGGCAATGTATCTGTCCGTGTTCTGGCGGAGGATCATTTTGCACATTTGGAGAGTACAAATTAACAATTGACCAACTGGCCTATACCTTCTTCCCCCGAATACAACGTGCGGTCATTATAGCTGTATTTGAGAAATCTTTCTGTCTAGATACAGCCATAATGACCATACTTTGTATTCGGCGGTAGAAGGTAGCCCAGTTGGTACCCCCCATTTACTGTTCAAATACAGACCCCCCGAGTTCAAACTCCACTGAGAAAGCAGATGAGTGAAATAGACCAAATTAAAAAAAAAAAGAAAAAGAAAAAGAAATAGACCAAATTGGCAAATTCTGAATTACCTAAATCACGGTCAATCAGTTCGATGCTAAAATCTCAAGCCAGTTCACCTGCTGCGCCGCCATGCAAATGGCATTGTCCTGAAGAAATACAAGTAGGGGAGAAGGGAGGAAGAGCACAAAATAACGAGGAGGAGGAGAAGGAGAAGAAGAGGAAGAAAAAGGAGGAGGAGGAGGAGGGAAGAAGAAGAAGATGGTCGAGGAGGAGGAGGAGGTGGGAAGAAGAAGAAGATGGTCGAGGAGGAGGAGGAGGAGGAGGAGGAAGAAGAAGGAGGAGGAGG